CACAACCTGCTTTGGATCTACACGTTTCACCACCAAACTCTCAGTGCTTGTGTTAGCCAGGAGCAGCCACGTGAACAGTGATGCTCCAGATCCTGCTCCATGCCCACAGAGCTGTGTGTCAGTCCAGCAGCTGCTGCAGGTCTGGTGGCAAGCAGGACAGCTGTCAGCCACCCAGGCTGGCGTGTTTCAGCCCTGGTTTGTGCTCAGGCAGGTGCAGCCTCACAGCTGACATGCTCTTTGGTAGAGTGGTATCCTGTTCCCCCATGCACTTTCACTGCACACAGCAGTGAGCCCTGCACACATCTGAAGTCACAGATGAGACTTCTCTGAAGGCAGCAGGACCCTTTTTAACCTTTAGTCACTATATATAATGGTCACTATTTATATTGTTGTAATTATATATATATATTTTTTATAATATTCTTTACTTAAAAAAGGGCAAGCAAAGTCTCCTGCCTCTCACTGATTCCAAGCACAACTGACCCAGAGATATTTGCTACCAAAACACCTTTTGCACCAAGGCAAACAGAAGTGCCTGTGCTGCCAACCAGACAAATCAGCTAAGCAGCTCCATCCATGCATGTGTTTGAGCCTCTCCACAGTATCAGTCTGTCTGGTGCCATCTGTCCTTTTCTCCCTCTGCTCATACAATCCATTGCCACACTGGTTTAGTGCTGAGAGCTGCCTTTCAGATTCCCCACGTGGCACATCCCCCCTGTATCCGTGCTTCTTTGCAGGCAGCTCCTGGCCAGACAGCAGCCACTGGCTCCTTCCCACCAGCCAGGGAGGCATCTCAGCTGCTGGGCAAGGCCCCTGCAAGTGAGGGCTCAGGGCAGCCCCAGAGGCTTTTGTGGTCCCAACACAGATGAGCAAGACGTGTCTCTCCCTACCCATGAGGAAGGAACAGTGGTGGCCTGTCCCAGGAGTTCCCCCAAAACACACACATGGGCAAAATCACCTGCGAGGACACAGCCACACATCCCAGCAGTGCTTGAGCAGCCCCCTGTGCCCTTGAGCTTGGCAGAGCTTGCACAAGACTCACAGCAGAGAGCAACAGGGCCTTGCCTCTCCCACCTTTCTGGGATGTGACAGCTCACCACCTCCTGTGATGCCACACTAGATCCTCTGGCATTCCTCAACCACCTAACTTCTCCCCAACTTCACAGGCCTCATCCCTTCTTGTCCCCAGACATGTTCTCCTGTTTGCTCCAGCTATGGCAGGTGCCCTTCCAACTTTCCTGCAGGGCAGCAGAAGAAGAGAGGGCCCAGAGGAAATTCTGTGTGTGCTGCTCCCCGATGTCCTCCCCAGGAGGTCACGGCCTGGGGCACACCATGCACTTTCCTGCTGCCCTTCATGCCAGGGACAGCTGGGAAGCAGGGCTGTGCAGGAGCAGGGAGTCTGGCAGCACAACCATGAGGAGAGATGGCCCATGCTGGTCTCAGATCTCTAAGGACCCAGATGCACCTTCAGCCCAGCCCTGTCAGACAACACTGTGAACAGCTTTGTTGATGACCTCCACAAGTCCCATCTTGCCTCAACCATTCTTTGATTCACTAAATCATGGAAATGGTGGAATCTTCCTTGCTGGAGACACTGAAGGCTCATCTTGACACAGCCCTACATAATCTAATCCAGGATCTCATTTTCAATAGAAAATTGGACAAGGTGATTTCCAAGGGTTCCTTTCAATGTAAACTTTTCTTTAATTTCTGCAACATGGAATATCTATTTACTTATATTTTTAATTTCCTTGCAACCAGATTAGAACAAAAGAAAAATTATTATAAAAAAAATTGTCTCAGGCAAAAATTTCAGGGGCAAAAAAGCATAATAAACCAGTGGGTTTGGAGCCATTCAGATCTATCACTCCTGCTCAGCTCAGCAGAGACCTGTGCCTGATGTCCAGCTGTGCTGGCCATCTTTCCCTTGCTTTCTGAAACCTGTGGGACCTGCCAGGTGGCTCTCCAGTTTATACCAGCTTTGGCATGTATCCTGGTGGGACCAGGAATCTGCTGCACCACAGAGGGAGATGATACCTTGGTGCCACCAGAATCCTGCCTGCTTCTTGTGGTTGGGTCATGGTAGATAGACCTCTTAGAAGACAGCTCAGTTTCACAGAAACCTTTTAATAAGAAAGTCCCCCTAGTCCTGTGAAAGACTTCACTGGATGGTTGCTTCACAATTAAGAGCCTGCCCGATTTCTTCATCTGCTGTTCTTGGCTGCTCTAACTTCCCTGCTTTCATGTGCCAGAGGAAGACCACAGAACCACAGAACCATAGAATGGTTTGGGTTGGAAGGGACCTTAAAGATCATCCAGTTTCAGCCCCTTGCTGTGGGCAAGGACACCTTCCACTAGACCAGGATGCTCAGGGCCCCGTCCAACCCAGCCTTGTGTCTGCCCTGGAGCTTCCTTTCTGACATTGGGCCACAGAAAACTGTTCCTTAAACTTTTTCCTGAACAAATAAATACACTGATTGTGCTTTATTGGCTTCCCATGATGAGGCAGGTTTGCTAACCCTGTTAATAATCCTGTAGTCCTCTTTCAAAGCTCTTTCAATGTCATTTTTGGCATGTGCATTAAGACATGGATGGACCAACTGGTAAAAGCTTCACAACCAAGTCTTATCATCTGAGCACTCTAAAATTAATAGACCTTCAATAAATTAATAGGAGTCCCATTATGATTTATATTTCTGGAAAGAATCTGTCTTTGAGTTTATTCTGTTTTCTAGTTTCTAAACCTGCAGCACATACTTAGGTTCTAGTCTGACCCACTCTTCAAACTCAGAGAAAGTTTTAGTGCCACCAGAAGAAGTGGTCACAGTCTCTGTGTGTCCTTCTTCTGTTGTGGGACCAAATGGTGAACCAGAGTGATGAAATGAACCAGATGAAAAATAAACTGGCAAATCAGAGCAGTCTGTGTCATGCTGGATCAGCATTTCCAGCCATTTATCAAATAGCTGCTGCACTGCAGATGTGGTGGAACTGTGCAACTAAACAGCTGGAACTTGGAGGGATGTTGCTTTTGATGGCAACATCAGCTCAGTCCATCAGACCACAGCCTGAGCTCCCTCTGAGTTCCCAGTGCTGCTCTGCAAAGATGAGGGCATGTTTGGAAACCAATGGAAAACACTTTGAGCTGGGTGAAATTAATTCTTAGTGTTAGCAACACTGAGACTGTTACATGAAGGGGTAATTCCTGTCTCCTGTTCCTACACATTTCCCTGTTCAGGTGTGCAAGGAGTTTCTCCCTGACACCCTGTCACAGCTCTCACACTCCTTTCCAGGACTCCTGTAGATATGAGCAGCTTCAGGATTCCTTGGACTTGATGGCCATCAGTGTGTGACTGTTTGCATTCATGTTCAAATGAATCAAGGTCATTACTGTTCAGGTTCCTCTGTCAAGCTTTGTTGTCTGCAAATAGTAAATTTGCAGGTAGTTGCAACTGCAGGAATAGGTGTACAGAGCAGCTGTATTTTTGTTCTGTCTCATGCAGTGCCTCTTTTAGGCATGACAATGGTGTGAAGCACAAAGAATTTGGGTCTGGAGTGTTTTCTTCTGTGAGGTGTGGGGAGAATTTTGTCTGCTTCAAGATCTCATCAAGATCAGACAGGTACCACTCCTCCTTGCTTTCACTTTCAAGCCTTCCTAATTGTCTGGGGGCTAAACAGTTGGTTGACTTAGCTCTAGCTGAGTGTTAGCTTATGTTCAGATAATATTACTTGAAGAGCACAGCCCTTGCTTTTACATTCACATTGTTCATCCTCAATGCATGGCAGAGGTGAGCACCAAGGAAAAGACACAAACCCCACCTCTGCCACTCAACCCACTGTCCCCTCAGATAGAAATGCACATGGCCATGGCATGCCAGCAAACCTCTCATTGCAAAGCAGCAGGTTTTGGGTACACTACAGGATAATAATTTCCCACCCTGCCATGTAGGGGAACTTTCAACCACAGTGCCAAAATTCACAAACACCAAGAGCATGACAATAAAACACAAGGAATTCAGGTGCAAGGGGCACCCAGGCTAAAGGCATCCAGTGACTATTCACATCCTCACAATGGAGCTGTGTTTGGTGCACTGCAGGTCTGTGGCACCAACCACGCCCAGGCTGAGAGGAACCACCCTTGCTGGGGGATGTGATGTCCACAGATCACAGTTTGGTATTTGTGACAGATGTGGCTGCAGTGCGCTCCCTTCTACATTAATTAGCAAGAGCTCCTGATTTCCCAGCAAGCTGCCAACACATCTCTACTTCCACCTAAGTACCCACCACACAGGCATCTGCTGAAACAGCAGCAGTGTCTAGAAGCAATGCCAGACAGCCTCCTCTGTGGGACATACTGGAGCAGGTGGGAGCATCCAGCAAGACCTGCCTGTCTCCCAGTTCCCACCTGTAGAGGCACCTCTGAAAAGGAGAGAAGAGTCCTCCCCTCCTTACCCCTTCTCTTATCTCAGCAAACATGGACGCATCCATCGTTCTTGAATGAGCTAGTGGCAATCCCTTGCTAACACAGGTGGTGGGAGGTGAGCCAACACTCAGGGAGATGGCAGAGACCAAGGCTGGTGTTCTCCCAGCAAGGAGAAAGGAAGGAGCTGCCTGAAGGACAGGAGCCTTCCTCTTTAGCAGGCCTTGCTCTTGTCACCTCTGCTCCTCCTTCCACAGCTGGAGTCGGTGTTGAGGACTGGTATTGCTAATGGGGAGGAGAATCCCTGGGGAGGGAGGCAGGTCAGGCACTGGGCAGGCTGGGTGCTGTGCGTTAGCAAGCGTGAGCTGCGGGCTGGGGGGGTCTCCCTTGGAAAGGCTCCGAGGCTCAGAGGCTGCCAGGCCCGTGGGAGCTGATTGCAGTGTGGGGTGAGAGTGAGAGAAGCATTCAAGTACAGCTACTGCTATACACTCGTGGGTCCAGCATGGAAGGCTGTGCTGCAGCATCTCAAGTGTATACTATATGCAGAAGTGACCCAGTCTGCTGGGCTCGCAGAGGAAGGTCATTATCTGGCAGCTGCCTTACTTTCCAGGGACACCTGCTTTCCTTTGGTTGCTGGACTTTGAGTCTGGGTTTTTCCTCTTTGTCGTTTTTTGGCCACGCCAGGAGATGGCAGGGAATCTCCTGTAGGCCCCGGGGCCTGAGCTGAGGGCTGAGGTCGGGGGGAAGGAGGAACTCGCTGAGGAGCAGTCCCTGGTTTGTGCTGTCGGCAGGGAGAAGGACTTTCCCTCCGAGGCAGCAGCTGGCTTCTGGGGGAAGTACTGGGGTTCCTGGAAGGAAGGATGGGGCTCCGAGGGGATGCACCACTGGACCTCTGAGAGCTGCTCCGTGGAGGAAGAGAAGTGGAGCTCGGTGACGAAGGAAGCCGACTTTGTACCTGTGTTGTTCGGCCCTCGGATGGGACACTGCCAGCTGGTCTCTGTGTCTGAAGCCTGCAGAGAAGAAAAGAGAGAGAAGAGGGAGGATGAAGGGGAATTTTGCAAGGGACTCTTGGGCTCCTGGCAGGATTGGCATGAATGTTGCCAGGCAATTACAAGGAGTCTCCAGCACCAGGGTGGGAGAACCTATGCTGTGAACAAGATGGGGCACCGGTTTGAACACCATCCTGTAACTCAGTGTAGTTAACTGCTATGTGTTTGCCTTGATGCTCCAGCATTCTCTGAGTCAACACGCAGGCATGGTATGTGGGGCTTCTCTTAACATGCAGAATGGATGCAGCAACCTTTTCCAAGGCAGGACATACAATTTGGGAATGTGGGCATGAGTTGGATTGCACCAGTTGGCCTCTCATGGTAACTGTGATGGAAGATAAACCAACTGAGGCAATCCCAGCTGGCAGCCTCACTGCCTTTGCAGCTCTAATTACAACAGTAGGGCCAGGAGGCCAGGTCTCCCTGCAGAGTCATGGCCGTGCTGCCAAATGGAGAGCTCAACACTAGGGGCATCTGCTATTATCAGACCAAGTGAAAGGGCTTGTAAAAGGAAAGGTCTCAAAGCCAGGGCAAGCAAAGAGAGGCTTCAAAAAAAGAAGACAGGTGAGTATTTCACACACCTGTGGGCTGAAATGACCGTAGGAAACAAGGATGGACTATGCATTCAAGCTGAGTAAAGGATGAAGTCATGGGAGGTGAGCAAAGCCCTGGCTGTGTCTCCTCAACAAGCCCAGTTCTTTGCATTTCTCACCATTTTGGTCTTACCTGCAGGCAGCAGCTGCATCCTGTGGGGAGCTGCCCAGCCCTGCCACCGCAGCAGCCACAGAGCTCTCCAGCGGCGTTTTCACCGGCACGATGGGGCGAGGAATTCTGCTCCTTGTGCTTATGGGTCTCTCTTCTCTCCCCAGGAGCGCAGCCTTCCTCTCTCCCTTCCGTGGGATGGAGTCATCAGAGTCGTGGGTGTCCTCCTCGGAGCCGGTGGCTGACAGGGTTTCGGAGGCTCGCCGCCGCTCGTCGCTGGAGGAGGCCGAGGAGGAGGCACCTGAGGCCAGCCGCAGGAGGCGGCTCTGTCTCTTCTCCATCACCAGGCGAGCCAGGTCGGGCTGCTTTGCCCTCTTATAAAGCCTTTCTTTGGCCGAGAGTGAAGTTGAAAGGTCTGAGCCAGTGTCCTCCTCAGAGAACAAAATGGGTATCCGACTCCTGTACCGGGAGCCCAGCGGCCTCCTGGGGCCCGGCTGTGGCGTCTCGAGGACGGTCTCTGCTCGCTTCAGGTGCTCTGTCGCTGGTGCTGCCTTCTCCAGGCCAGGCTCCCTTGTAGCCACCTTGGCAGGCTCTTCCAAATCCAGCGAGAGCGCCGCTTTGCCAGAGGGCTCTGGCTTTTCCTCGGGAAGCTTTGGCATGCCGTTGGGAAGGGCCGGCTGCTCACCCACGGTCTCTGAGGTGGTTTCCATGTGATTGGCCGACAGCGCGCAGCTCTCCGTCTCTGCCCCTTCCAGCCCGGAATGAATGCTGCCATTCTCCACCAGCACCAGGTTATCCTCCAGCTCCTCCTCGACGATGACCTCCTCGAACTGCCCCGGGGGCCCGTGCTCCTCGTGTCGCATCAGCTGCCCGCTGGAAGACATCACGTTTAGGTGGGTCTTCTCAGCGATGTGAACAAACGTGCGCTCCACTTTGGTGAACGGGGAGGAGGCTGTAGCCACTGCCACAGGAGGCTTTGGTTCTGATTTAAGGACTGAGGACAGGGTCCCTGGCTCAGACACATCCAGCTGGCTCCCCATGGGCTGCGGCCGCTCGCTCTGAGGTGTCAGGGCAGCAAGAGTGCCCAGATCGACTTCTGGAGGTAACTCTGCAGCCACTGGGGATTTTTTCAGATCACCTGGTGAAAACAGCACTAATGTTTTTGAGCCTTCCTCCAGCTCCAGGTCCCCATCAGCAGTGGATGCTCGACCCTTGGAGCCCTTCTGGTCATCAGCCAGGAGCGTGGACGGTGCGCACTCCTGGCTGCGCTCCGTGCTCTTCTGACTCAGGTCACTGCTGGAATCACTGTGCATGTCAATCTCATTGCCCTCCTCCTCCTCCTCCCCCTCATCCTGCTCATCTTCCTCCTCCTCATAGTCTTCCTCCTCTTCTTCCTCCTCTTCCTCCTCCTCCTCTTTTCCATTCATTTCCAGATAAGGTTCCAGAGGTTTGCAAGGAGCAGTCAAGACAATATTTGAAAAATCAACTTTCTTTATCCGCTGGGATAACTTAGGCTTTTCCCAGTAGTTGCACATATCTTTTCTGAAGTCTTGGTAAGGCAAACTTAAAGGGACCGCCTTGGGCAGGCCATTTATTTCAAATGACTTCAGCAGGTATGCCTGCAGGAAGACAAGTGTGACAAAAGAAGAGGGTGAGTTAGCATTCAGACAACAGCATTGACACAGAACACATCAGGACCAACAGCAGCTGGAAGAATCCATGGAAAGCATCTAATCCATCTCATGCTTCCAAAATAAATACATGCCTGAGTAGTCATCATCCATCATTTGATTCATACAAACCTTAGGGAGGTTCACAGGTACTTATCAATGAAGGAAACGAAACATGGCAAAGAAGTTCCTTTGTCAGCAGTCTTTAACCTGGACCTAAAAGAACCATTTTCAAGCAATTCCTCAGGATTTTTTCACATTTCCCAATCTTCTTCAGTGTTTATGTACTTATTTCAGTATTTATATATTTACATAGTCACTCCTTCCTTACTGGAACCACTTAGCAACTTGCTTTTATGCCCAGTGAACTGAAGGGGCACCTCTGGGCTAGATAAATTTCCTGATCACTTTCCATTAGCATCCACCATTGCCCCTGCACCATCCATGCCCCCTTCTGCTCCCACATCCCTGTAGCAACTCCTCATTCTGTCTCCCACAGGCTTCTGCTTCCACTGCAATCATCAGCAAGTCATGAAAGCTGGCACACAAAGTGCCATTATCAGACCCTGGGGTGTCCAGCCAGGAGAAGTGAAGGGCACACAGGACAGGTGGTGGTTGGGGGCACTGTTTCTCCATCAGCAGCCTGTGGCAGTAGCAGGCTGTGAAATGATTGCAAATGATCCTACAGAAAAACAGTAGCTCACACACACATGCACACACTTGACCAAACAAGGCCAAAATAAATAGGAAATGCCTGTCAAGCATGGCCTAATTAACAATCAGTTGCAAATGAAAATCCCATCAGCACCACTCTGCAGAATGGATTTTAAACCAAATCATTTACAGCACACTTCTGTTAGGGCTTGCAAACGTGTAACCTCTCCATAAAATCAACTGGTCAATAATGCATCACATGTTACCCTTGAAAAGTCCTGACCACGAACAGCAGGGCTCCAAACATCTGTGTTTTCCAGTGGCATTCGACACCGCCGGAGGATATTTAGGCTACACAACTAAATATGCACCCACTTAACCATGTGAGCTCCAGAGCTGCTCACAGCTACCACATTCACCTGGCCGTGGGAATGGATCTTTTTGTCTCTGCTGGGGAGAAAAAGCCCTCAGTGGCTTTTCAGTCCAATGGCACAATTAAAAATGGTGCTGAAAAATGTACTATTTTTATGCTCCTGTACAACAGAGACATTTCAAATAGGTTGGTGGGCAGCACCAAGCTGTTCTGCATGGTGGTAAGTTGTTATCCAGTTAATATTTCTTTTTATATCTTATAAATTAAAACACAGGCTGGTTTTGGCAATACCTCTGGAATCCAAAGCTGCTTCTCTTCTTTCATTACAGCTGAAGCCTGGCCCTGAAGATGGCTCTGTATTAGCCTGGTTTGGGCCTTCACTGACCCACTCTACCTTTTGTATCAGGATGGCAGACGTGGAACTTGGATTGGTAAGAGGCACTTACTGCCCTTTGCAAAGGAAATTACCCACGTGGCCTCTTCCCTCAGGCATTTCTTGGAAATTAGTTCGTTCAACAGCCTAGGACTGGATGATGCACGTTGGCTGGGTTTGTTTTTCCCAAGAAATACATCCACAGTGCCATTCCTGGAATCAGGATGCACTTCCCCAGTGGGAATGGGTCCTGACCAGCAGCTTGCCTTGTGCTGAGCCCCCCGTTGGAAAGAGTTCCACAACCCCAACAACAGTTCCTTTGCTGCTCTACCTCATGCCATTTTCCAGATGCTGTGTTTCATTATGCAGATGGAAAATTGCTGTTTTTCTTTGCATTGTGAAATATGCACCTGTGTAGATCTTCAGATCTCTTCCCAGCCCTTGGCTTGTGTCATCTCTTCTGCTTTGTGGTCAAGGTGAGCTGAATCCAGCCCTGCAGAGCACATCCTGTATAGGCCAGAGATATGATTTCTGTGCCCTGCAGTCTGCATCACCAGCAGTCCTGTCTCCAGCAAGCCCTCTTTCCTCAATAACTTTTCCCTTGCAAGACATCAAAAGTTCTTCTGAGATGAGGTTGCACTAAGCAATAATGTATGACATGGAGCTGGACAGCAGGATGTTGCTGTAAGAAAAATGGTAGTTCTTTATTTCTTTATTTCTTGTGCTCTGGTGCCCCTCTGCTACCATAGAGTCATGCTGTAGATAACCTTCTAACCCTCATGTACTTCCACCTCTACAAATTCCTTGCAGTATTTAGGAAATGGACTGTGTTTCTGTCTGTCTTTTCAATTTCTCCATGTATGTTCTACTTTCCTGTGTGGACACTGCACCCCGAGGACAACAGTGACTGCTTTGATTGTACCTACCTTTGGGAGACTTGGACTGCTTCACCTGCTGCATGCACTACCCCAAAACTGCAGAACACATTCCTTAAAGCAGCCCGAGACAGTCGCTGCTCTGCCACTTGTAAATGCACCGTGGAGAAAGTCCGAAGAACACAAACACCCAACTACAAGAAACTCTGCTGAACAAGGTGTTCCCAGTTTGAACCCCTCACCAGAGAAACTTGGGTCCTGTCTTGACAGTCTTTTGTACTACATCACACTCAGCTAGCTTTAGGGCTATTCCCCAAAGGCCAGAGAAGAACTGAGGGAAGGTGTCACAAGATCAGAAGTGGAGAGGCTTAGCCTGTATCTTAAAACTGTGGAATAAAAATTATATAAGGAATCTCTGGAGATCTCTGCTCCCACCAGCCCTCAAAGCAGGACCAACTCAGAGATGCCTGTGCTGGGCCACATCCAGCTGAGTTTTTAGTACTTCAAGGATGGAAATCTCACAACCTCTTTGGGACCCTCTCCTAGAGTTTGAGGCTCTTCATAGTGAAAAAGTTGGGGGGTTTAGGATCTAATTCCTATATCTAACCTTCCTTTCATGAAACTTTTGTCCATAGCATCTCATCCTTCCATTGTGTACCTCTGAGAAGAGTATGGAATCTCCCTCCATCAGGCAATTCGATGAAGAAAAAGGATGCCACAACCAATCCTGTTTTTAGGCAGAACAGACCCAGATCTCTCAGCCTCTCCTCATGTCAGATGTTTCTAGTTCCTGGTCATCCTGGCAGCCCTCTGTCAGGTTCACCCTTCTGTAAGCAGGAACTAGGCCATGAGCTAAGGCTGCCACATTTTCCTTGCTGTTTGACCTCAGATTTCAACTCCTGACTCTCTCTTGACTTGTTGGTCACTTGTCCAGGAATGCCTGTGGCATTCCATGGGTCTGAGCATGTGTTTACCACCAAGTCTGCATGTTTCACCTCTTTAACACTCTGTCTCTAAATAAAACTTGTCTTAGATTATTCACTAAGGTTGAAGTGCTTGTGAGTGTTGCCCAAACAAATATTTTAGGACTCTACCTACTTTCTGGTCAAACCTAGAAACTGCCAGGTAGAACTCTTAGTAGAGTTTCTTAACAGAAGGCAACTGGGTTGCCAGAGATAGAAATAAAATCTGAAAGAATATTGGAGAGTTCAGGGTCTGCAAAACTTACCAACCTATTAAAAACATCAATACCACTGCTCTCTTCCAATTTCATGAATGTCAAGGAATGCCCCCTACCAACAGTAGCACTCATGAGGAGTGGGTGGTGACAGATTTGGAAAAAAGAGGCACCACTTGCCTTATAATTCACCAGCGTGGCCAGTAAACAAACCAACAGTGGTATTTCATCATGGATTGCCAACAGTTTTTTGCTAATACTGCAACTTCAACTGCTGCAGTTCCAAACATTGTCGAGATGGTGACACTGCCACGGGGTCTGCTCATACTTGGCTGACTGCCCTAGATGTGGAGGACATGCTTTTCATAACTCTGCTCCTCGACCATGTTTTCTTTTCATTATTGCTTGATCTCTTTATGAACTACTGAGGAAAGGAAAATCATGGGAATGATGTAAATGCACATGAATGTATTAGAATTGTAAGTAAGTGAACTGAGATTGTTCCAACAATTCCATATGCCCAACTGACCTTATACACATGGAATGGGGATTCAGTGGGCATGGGCCTCATTGCAATCTATGGCAAAAGGGGCCAGGAGGGGTGGAGACACCACTGGAGTTGGGATCCCACTCTTTCAGTGCCACCAAAATGAGGTGCTCTGATCTTGAAAAGGGCTGGTCTCCCAGTGAAACAGGCAGAACAGATAAAGAGAGGACAGAGTGTGATCATGAGGGGACCTTCCCACCTCCCAGATGTAGCTCATGAGGGTACAGTGTCACCTGCAGGCACTGCCCAGGAACCTACACTGGTCTGTCCATCTGGGAGGTGTCAGTGGAATTATGAAAGAATGGTTCAGCACATTCCCCTTCCCATTGGAAACGGAGAGTGGCAATGGCTTATGTTTCACAGCCATGATGGTTCAAGACTGATCCAAAGAGGAAGAAATCTGATGGATATTTCACATTCCATAATATCCCCAAGCTAATGGTCCTGTCAAATGCTTCAAGAGGTTGAGTTACTAGATGGAAGTTCAGGTCTCACTTCAAATCTTATGCTGCAGTTAATCCAAGCTTTTGGATGGACACACAATATTCCTCAAAGTCCTGTGTGTTCATCTCCCTCAGTATCCCAGCTCACCAGTTCTTGGGAAATATTAACTATGGATTTGACCAAAACTTGGGAGATCATGTGAAAAAAACCACACAAATCTGACTTGAGGCACTAAGGAAAATGTGGTTTGAAGTGGCACAAGACTAATACAACCACATAGAACTGCAACATCCCTGAGCCACCGTTAATATTTGTGACTTATAGGGAAATTATTTCTATGATTTATCATCATCCACAGGACATGTGTACTAATATACCACGAGGAATGCATATTCCAAGGGTGTGGGGAATGTCACAATGCAGTGTCTGGTCTTTTTGACTAACAATGACACCAGGTCTGACATTTGTTCAGAGCTTGCACACACTTCTGGGGCACAGTGATGGAA